CTTCCTGACATTGGGAAGCTGTCCGTGACGGAGAAGAAGAAGGACGACATGGAAGTGGATCAGGAAGGCTCCAAGAAGGGCTCCACCGAGACGAAGGAGCCCACGCCTCGGAATACCGAGGCTGGGAAGGAAGGCCCGAGCAAGGCCTCCAACTACAGAGGGGCTACCGCTGAGGAGTACCGAAAGGCTGCTCGGGAATACGTGTACAGCGGGGAGGGAGATGATCGAAGAATCCTTCCCAAGAATACTCCAATCAACATGGAGAAGTCGTTGCCGGCTGAGGTCGCGCTCCTGATTCCTAGAGCTGTGGCCACGCAAGAGGAGGCTGAGGAAGCCGAGAGGACCGCGATGGAGGCCATCCGCGGGGACTATAGGCTTCCGGATGTGGGTCAGGACGACAGGGAGAATGTCGACCCTTACACCGTGACGGACGAAGACTTGGCTGCGTCGGTAGACGCGTTGACTAGGAGGTTGAGCAATATGCCTGGATGGTCGGGGAATTTGATCGACCCTGCGAAGTCTGCTGAGCTGGTCGCGGCGAGATGGGGCGGTAAGGCGAGTTATGACAAGCCTGAGGCTCCTCTGACTGAGGCTGGGATGAAGAGTGCGTCATTGGAGGATCGTGCCTACGCACTATCGCAGCTGAATCAGATGGTGAACTTCCACAAGAAGCACCTCTGCTCTGGGCGAGGAGCGCCTCTGGTGAGTGCAGCTGCCCCTAGTGGACCCTTTGCTCCTGACCAGCTGGATGATAGCAGGAAGTTCAGGCCTAGTGGGGCGGCGAGCAAGATGACCTACAATCTTGTGATACTGGATGGGAAGGAGGATTATCTTGCCGATAGGCGAGAGATCAATCCGGAGTTAAGGGAAACGGGAGTTATCCCTGATGAGGCCGTCACTTGCCAGATTGTGGTTCCCTCGAAGACGAGGTTGGGTGAATACCTCCCGAACTACGAGGAGACCGTGGGCACTGTTGCAGGACGGGAGGCGGCAAAGGAGTTGATGAGACTGCTCTCGTGCGATTTCGACGGCTTGGTCATCAATTCAAAGAGAGTCTCGGAGTTATTGAGGAACGTGTGCTGAAGGAGACCGGACGCGAGGCTGGAAACTGGGTGAAAAGTGACCAGGCCATCTGGTTCCTGAAGGAGATTTCGGGTATGGAGAACGCTGAGATGTCTTGGAAGTTCTTCATTCCGACGCTTAAAGCTTTCCCGATAGGGCAAGTGGAGGCAATGCTCATGGTCATGTACGACGGGGATGGCGTTCTCCTCAAGGAGAGCACCAGGTTGGTTGCCGTTAGGCACACGCGGATCGGACGCGACTTGAGTTACAGTGCAGTTAGGTACAGGTATACTCAGGAAGATGCACCTGGCGGGTCTCTGATGTATGAGATGCATTGGAATGAACTCCCCATGGTGGGATACGTCATCATGAAGTTCTCGGACTTTCGGAAGGCGGTTCAGCTCCAAAGGGTGAGGCGTAATGGAAAGGCCATGATCGAGATATTGATCACGAGGCCCGATGTGTACGAGACCATTGGGGATGGTAGGCAGGATGAGGGCCTGATCCCACTTGTGGGAGCCATGGCGCCGGATGCTGAGGTATCGCCTTCGTGGTATGTCAGGGACAGGCTGCGGAACTACTCCGGTAGGTACGTGGTGGTAATGGTGGATCTTCGGGTGCACTGGTCCTTGGTTGGACCCGTGTTTTTGACGAGAAGGAAGACTCTTGCCGTTAGGAACGAGATCCACATGGGGGCTTGGAAGGCGGCGTATATGTACGATGATTACACGATAGTGTACCATCGGGCATGGGACTACGGTGACTTCACCCCCGTTAGGGGAGAGCACAAGCGATCACGGGAAGAGATCAGGCTGAATGTGACTGCCACGTTCTGCTTGAGGTGCGCAGAATTGATGCCGAATGGGATGCACTTGTGTCCCGGGTGCGCGCTCCCGGTCTTTTACCCGAACTTTATCCCCAACGCGGAGGAAAAGGACTTCGAAACGTGCCACATCGTGCCGGAGTGGGTGAGGACCATGGGGCAGTTCAAGCCCAGGAGGATTCCCTCCGAAGTGGTCGGAGTCATCAAGAGGAATTTGATTTCCTATTCGATGGCATCCGATCTAAGGATGACGGTGCAGAGCGGCATCAGACTTCCCCCTTATCTTGGTGAAGACAAGGGAGGTGTCGATGCGGCGTGGGATGAGCTGGCGAAGGTGCTCTTCCAATTCTCCTATGTGTCCGGGATTTCGGCCTCGGATGCGTTTGTGGAGAAGTGGGTGGCGAAGCACCTGATCAAGACCAACCAAGTCGATAGATTTGAGTCGGTCACGGAGTACTTCCGGGCCAACCCAAGACACGCTGCTCAGTGGGGTAGGCGTATGACGACTTCCGTTAGGAAGTTCGCTCGTCATGACACGTACTTGTCATTCTATATTCCGATGGCATACGTGATTGGTTCTGCGGCTGGTCATCTGACCCCATTGTACCCGACCCATCGAAAGGACGTGGACATCCTGGAGAGTCATGCGTTGATGTCGCAGCTCAGGGGGTACATGGTATCGGAGACAGGGTATGATGAGAAGAAGAGGTTGAAGGAGGCGATAGCCAAGGTGCAGAAGGCGATCAGTGCCGGACAGTCAGAGCCTCCCGCACCATTCCGTGACCCATTCGTCTACGTTAGCGACGAAAGGGTGAGGACGGTTCTTGACGGTCGTCAACCCGAACCATTGAACGTGGACATCGAGGGACTCCAATCAGTGCATCATGCTGCGCCGGGTCCTGGTCCCAAGCAGGAACCGGTCCCCAAGGGCGGAAAAGGAAAAGGGAAGAAGGGGGAAAAGGGCGGTAAGGGCGGTAGTCCTTCCGGCCCGCCGCCAAAGTCAGGTGAAGTGCCGGGTAAAGGATCCGGTAAGGGCGGTAGCCCATCCGTCCCGAAGGCGAAGGATGACGCTGGACCTGCTCCGATGGAGGTTGATGCAGCAGCAGCTCAGCCGAAGAAGTCTTGGGCCGAGATGGTGGTTGAGGGGGCCAGGCCGAGTGCCAAGGCTAAAGTGACCCCAGTCCCTAAGGCAGAGCCGAAAGGGAAGGCTGCTTCGGCATCTGAGGCGAGGAGTGCTCCGGCTCCAAAAGCTGTGGCTAAGGAGACGAAGCAGGCCGAACCGAAGGTTGAGGTCAAGAAGGAGAAGACAGGCGGAGGTGACGCTCCCGGCGGTAGCCGCGGGTCGGCCGAAGGGCAGAAGAGAGAAAGGAAGTCCCGTTGGGATCCCGACGAGGCTGCGAAGGAGTCGACAAAGCGGGAGGCATCCACGAGGCCTGGCGATGTCGACAGCAGACCGGGTGCGGCAGCGAGAGAAGCTAGCGGGGATGATCTTCACTCCGCGCTTGGCAGATCTTCGGCAAAGGATGCGGTAGCGCCTTTGACTGCCTCCAAGGCGATGGCAAAGAAGCCTGAAGGCGGGGAGATCCGGCTGCAGTCTGCTGAGCGGGCCGCGGCGAGCCCGGTGGAGGGTCACTTCCTGGTGCTGCCTGAGAGTTCGGTGGTGGACGCTTTCTTGACGATCTCCACCAACAGAGTGCTGAACAAACAGGTTAGGGATTTCATCAGAAATGGTGAGGACGCGTCGGCACTGGAAGCTCTCAACCAGATCGTGACGAACTCTCAATCTGGGAGGAGGCGTAGGGAGTCGGATGTTTCCCGTACTCCTTCTCGGAGGTCCGTTAGGACCGTGGACACCAGGGATTCCAGAGAGTCGAGGAGGCGCAGATATCGTCCGCGGCGCGAGGATGATCGCGACAGGAGGAGGGACGATGCTCGTGATCGTCGTGATGATGATTCACTCGATCGGGAGCGGGATCGAAGGCGAGATGATCGCAGGAGATCCGAAAGGGATCGTGATAGGGACCGTGCGCGGGGCGGACGTGACCGGAGGAGACGTGACGATAGCCGGTAGGCTGAGTCACGAGGATTGCGGCCGATAGGCTTGCGTCCGTTCTCCAACGGTCAGCGCGGTGCGGAGGTGGTGATGTTCCTCCCGGACCGCTGAGGCGCGGAGGTCATGTCTCTCCCGTACCGCTGCTGAGCTGCTGGACGTGCTCATCCGGAAGCAGTGTGAGTGAGAGGGAAAGCAAACTGATGGGGGGTTACTCCCGGGTTTGCGGAATTCAGGCATTTTTCAGGTACGCATGGTCAGGAGTACCTCTTGCCGTTAGGCGAGGGTACTAATGGACATACGTTATCTTTTATTTCATGGCTTCTGATAAGAATTAAACTTCTTGCATTTCTGATGCAAACAGTTGTGACCCATTGTCGTCATGTGGACTTTTCCACAAGGTATGTTGGACAGCGTTACCCCGATTAATTCGGGGTGGTGGCGGGAATTTAATGCCCGGGATGTCGCGCGACTGCCTTTGTGGGTTTGCTCCACCGCTGACGGCGGTAGTGTCCAGCTGTTTGCGGATGTATGCGAGCAGTTAAATCCTATCAGTAAATGGCACGCTCCACCCGTCATATGACGGGCTCCTCGTGAGGGGGGTGTGATTAGCCATGGTTTATTACATCACCAGGGATGTCGCGGTAGTGACTGACCTGTGGTGTTTGGCTCAAGTTTTGGGTTCCGTCGCGCCTCGAATGGGCGTCGCCGAACCCCTGCGTCGACCGACGGCATCTCGGGGGAGAAAGAGACCTCGGGCCGCCGCCAGGTTGGTAGGGACCAGTCGTGCGGCCTGTTGTCGACCAAGGTTGCGGGTTAACCCTTTTCTTGTTTGGTTTGTTTCCTTTTGGTTGTTGTTCTCTGGTGTGTGGGAAACCCTGATCTTTGGGACCGGGGATTGGTTTGCTTTTGGGGAACCTTTCTTTTGTGGCTTGTTTACCCCAACTTACCCATTGCCTGGGCACAGGCTCGTGCCCGAATCACATTGTTCATTGAATTGATTTTTTTTTGGAGACTGGCCTAGATGCTCTGTTTGCAGCCGGGTCGCGGCGCCCGGAAACTCAGGTACGGGGCCATCCGCCCTATCGCCGCGGGGGAGGTATTGACCTTCTCCTACGTGGGCAACGGCATGAACCTGCCAGCGCCCCAGGAGGAGAAGTTGATGGGTGTTGGCCACTCAACTGGGTTGGTCTCAAAGGGGCACCACAAAAATGCGTGGTTTCCTTGCCTTTCAGGAACCCCGAAGGCCCGAAGGGTTGCTCCGAACCTCAAAACCGCAACAAGGCCAAATAGTTGGTGAAAGGAAGTTTAGACGAAGCTTCCGTGGTACGGACACCAGTTCTCGCACAAGAACAAGCAGGCCACGAAGAAAATACGCCCGCGCGTGGCGGGGGAATAGACATGTCCGGAAAAGTGCAGCTCTGCGGGTGTCAGTTTCTTCGGGTGTTCGAAAGTCAGCCTCATCTCACCGCTCTCGCAGCGACCTCGCTGCGGGCTTGGAGCCAGCTCGGAGCCGGGCCCATCGGCACGGAGGCGCCCAGATCTTTTCGACATGAGTTTGCGTGGCAGGCGCGGCGCTTGCGCAAGGTCAGGTGCAGACTTCGTGGCAGGCGCAGCGCTTTCCGCCCTTTGGCTCACCACTGGCGGACCGCTCCGAAGCGGAAGCCGGGGGCAACCGGGGGGCATGGAAAGAAGGGTGCTTCTGGGGCAGGCAGACATGGTCAAGACACGGGCAGAGACACTACAAGGTAAAGATGGCCAACAGCAGCAGCAACAGGTGCATCGCCGTTGGCGTGCGTATTGTGACATAGCCATAGCCGAGGAAAGATGCAGCAATCAGCAGTGTTAAGCATTTGTAGGGGTGTGTTAGCGCGGTACAGACCTCATGGCAGTCGCAATGCTTGCAACCCGTGGGTCGCAAGGGGGACCTCGAAAATGCGGTGGGCGCGGATGCGACCGGGTTTGGTCAGAGTGGGCTGAGAGATGGCTTGGAATTGGACCATTGGCACGGCCCCGCGCACTGTTTGGAGCACCATCAGCGGATTTTCTTGGGCTCGATCTTGACAACTCGTTTTCTATTTTTGCCTTTGCGCAGCTCATTCCGCACCCTACGTGGACACTCCCATGAGCTGGCGAGGTGGGGCATTTACACTTTTGGCTGTAAAGTTTTTTGTTTATACCCAGTACGCATACCCAGCGCTTCAGAAGGTATATGTCTACCTGGCTTCCTGAGTTGCCGGACTTAAAACTTTTTGGGAAGACCATGTTTGCGACAAGTACAAGCTCTGTTTTGTTTTCACCAATCCAGTCGATCGGAAGTGAGCTACAGAAGCTTTGAACCAACTACCGGGCCCCAAGCCATCAATTAGAGGGAAGCTGAAAACATGGACAGAAACAATCAAAAAAGGGAAACAATCACCGCCTACCAAGGATCACCAGCACTTTGGTGCGGCGCCAGCGCCTAGCCACGCTGTGCTTCATCTGCCGCTGCGAGCGATGCAAAGGCGGTTTGGGGTTTTTGGTGTTGGTTTTGGCCGGCTGTGGGTGCTGCGGTCAAAGGATTTTACATTCAAGCCAACTGAGAGTGAAAGGGCCAGGACGGAATCCTGCACCACTTTGAGACCATGGGAAACCATGGTTTGTTGGCATTTAGAGGGGAATCGAATCATTCCAGGGTTGCTTAGGTGGTGCGAAATGGATTTCGTCCACCTACGGTATGAGCCCAGTCTGGCCATTTGGAAACTGACTCAGACCCGTTGCGAACTTCGAATAAGAACAGTTCCGACCCCTGACCCGAAGGTAGGTGTGGTTTGAGAGCGGGTTGAGGGGGGCTTGGCTTTTCCTTTGAAGACAGAGAACCAAATGCTGGTTTCGCTTGGGCACCCGTTTTCCATTCCAACAGGAGGTTTGTTTTGGTGTTCCCATTGGTTTTCGCTTTTTGGTTTTCCCCTTGGCGGCCAGGAGGGTGGCTTTGGCTCTTGAGCCAAGGCTTTCCCCGTGTTCGCCTCAAGACAAAAAGGAGGTTTCTTTTGGTTTCGCTTTGCAACCAACATTAACCGGACGTTTCCTTGGATTTCTTTGGTTTTCTTTGGCTTGGTTTCCTTTGGTTTGGTTTCCTTGTGGTTTCGCGGAGGTTTTGTAGGGTTCACACTTGGAACAAGCGCAGGTTTAAACTACCCTCCGAGAGGGAACGCCAAAATGTGCTCCCTCAAACCAAATCCAGCATGGGTATTTTTCCTTGAGCAATATGTTACATGTTTTTCTTTAAGACCGTCTTCCCGTTACAGTTTAATTTGTTTTGGACGCGGCTTCCCTTTCAGCCCTTTTTCACGGGCCACAGGAGGTCCAGAAGCAAAACGGCGATCCCGAACGCTACACACGCTGTGGGTAGTCAACCAATAATTCAGAGCCAACTTGCAAGGGGAGCCATTGCCGCAAAAGTATGGGTGTGTCTTTTTGTTGAGCGATCCCCTTTTCTGGTGGCTTCAAAGGAAAACCAAAGAGACAATCAAAATTTTGGGGGGTGCCCCTAAGAATAAGACACACCCATACTACATGTGACCCTCAGTTCTTAGGCGAAATTGGGGCCATGAATGGCCGGCTTCAGACAGGGCGGATCCGCGGCTTTGTCGGTCAAGAAGCCCAGCTTTGGACAACTTTTGTTGGTTTGCTCACGCGATTCGGAGTTGGGCCTCGAACTCAGCGAGGCTTTTGAAGCTTTGTCGTGTTACCAATGGCTTACAATGGGTTCGGCGGGCAAACAACTGGCGCACTTGGGTCCACTAACAAATGTTTGGCGAAAGGGTGGATGGACAAATTACAGTACCACTTTTTAGGTGGACCTGGAGGATTTTGTCCATCCACACGTGGGTGTGCATGTGTCAAAATAAGGTTTCCGACCCCCAAAATGGGCTTCCGTGTTCCTTTTGTTCCACATGACATTTCTGTTCTCATTGAGCTTACCGTAGGACCCCTGGTTTGCTTTTAAACCAACCGCCCCAAAATGATTTTGTCCATCCAAGTGTGTCAAGACTTGGGTGTGGATCAATATTCCTTGCTGCAAAATAACCATGGATAACTTTCCCAGATTTGTTGGTGAAGGTCATCCTTTGTTGGTTCTGGTTTCGCCGATGGTCCCATGTAAAGGACCCTTCTAGGGGTTGATTCCCCATTCTTTTCAACCATCATTCTTTTCAAGAACCAGCTGTTTCCCCAGGGTTTTGGAAAGAATGGGGAAGGTATTTCTAGAACCCTTGGGATCACGCCCCGCAAGCGCACGCGACCGCGACCGCGGCTGCCGCGACGTATGCACGCAGGCCCGGACCTGGCCCGGCCGTTGCCGTGCCCGCGCTGCCGTGGTGAGTGCCTGCCAGGGGTCCCATCAGGTCGCCGCGGGTAGGGAGGCGGTGGGGCGATGAGACGCTCAGAAAGGGCTTTATACACCAGGTTTCTGAGTAGTGCCCTTGTACCAACTTATTTTTGGGAGGGTTCCCCTACTGAAATAGATTACAGAAAAAAAGGGTACCCTTATTCGAACCTCTCTACTGGAAAACCTAGTATTGATCATGAATCTCTTTTACGTTCAAGAAATGGTAATGGCTTTGAAAGCAAAATTAGGTGATCTTTTGAGACCTTTGCATTCCGAATATGGTACAGTGTATGGGACTAAGTGCAAAATAGGGGAACCTTCCCTGCCTCTCAAGGAGCTGGTTGTTCCTTTTTGCTTGACTCCCCAGTTGGCTATTTTTGTTGGGACATTTGAAGTATTCAAGTATGGAGGTTGACCCATAGGTGAATGCTCTCCAAGGGCAACCCAGTGAGGAAGCCGGCCTTGCCTTTGCTGGCCTTGTCGAAGGAAAAGAGGGGGCATGGCGCTTCCATCCACTACAGGGAAGACCAGCGGGTGTTGTCCAAAATGCGTACCCCCTTTTTGGACCATGCTTTGATGTTGGCGCGCCTGTAAAACGCGTCTCTGAAGGGGTTAAGCATTTGGGGAACTTCTGGTTTCAAATCATTCGGGGTTTCCCACACCGATGGTCCTCAAACCACACGCAGGTGACGTCTTTTGCGTTAGCTTGGTTTCCCAGCTTGCCAACGTGCGAGGCCCTGCTACCCAGACCAGGAGCTGGGAGATCGAACGTCGACTGGGTACCAAAAAGTCCAGGAAGCGTTCCTTTTTTGGGCGGGGGGGGGGGGGGGGGGGTTGGGTGGTCAAAAGGTAGGGTTTCAGTTTTAATTATTTTGTTGGGTGTGTGTGTGTGTGTGCGTGTGCGCGTGCCTTTACTTCGACCAGAAAGAGAAGTTGTCAAAAGCCGATTTCGCTTGTGACCCGAGAAAGTGCCAGGTGATCAAACGGATGTCTTGACAACTGTGTTTTCGGGGGGCGGTGTCCGTGAACCCCTTTGACATGGCCACTCTCTCAAAATGGCAAAGGTGGGCTGAATGCTTTTTGTATCTTTTTGTCCATATGAGGTTTGCCAAAAAGGAGGATGCGCGTGTTTTTGATCCTGAGCCTGTTCAAAGGGCAAACGCAGCAAATATGATGGGGCCTTTTTTGGACAGCCTGCTATATGAACCGCTGGTGCGAATGGGTTAACTTCTCGATGCGAACCACTGGCCACGTTTGGACCCAACCTTGCCATGGGTTTGTTTATGGACATGTACATTTGGCGTATCAGCAATTTGTGTTTGCGTCAAAACTAGGGACCCTTCCAAACACCGAGTCTCCTTAAGTCGTACCCGAAAGGGGCGCCTAAAGGGCCCCCAGTTTTGGGCACATATTCCCATACATATTGCGTTTGCAACAAGATCAACATGGCTTGGGACGGTACTCCCCGGGCCCCGCTTAGCCTAGGGCAACTCCAGGGTACGGGAGATCTCAACATTGCCGGACTTAGCCATACTTACTTCCATTTGCTTTAGAATATTCTTGATTTTGCCCTGTTGGTTTTAAAGGGAATCTATCACTATTGGAAGTATATTTTTTTTTTCGGGGGGCTTAAGCAAATGGAAGCTTAGCCTAATTCTTTGGTTTTCCTGCTCGGTTGTCCTTCATGTTCCCTTCCAGCCACCGAAGTAACTTGGCCGGGCTGAGCAACCCTCCCCTCCCTAATACCCCCTCCATCCCCGGAATCGCCTCCAAATCTTATTCGATCAAGGTCAACCAAAGATGAAGCAGCATCTGAGCACCGTTGGTCCGAGCTCCCTCCTTTTCGAAGGGTTTCCTCCTAAAGACGGTCACCTCCTCCCCCATTGTGCCGACTCCACACGTGTACCGCCGCTTTCCTAACTCTCGCCTTGGAGGACGAGAGCGGCTTCGGGATCCACGGCAGCCGCTGCGACGCCATCGAGGACGCCGTGCTCTGGCGGCCCGAGCCTTGTGTTTTTTGTTTTTTTTTCCTGGGGGGGGGGGTGGAACACACATAAACAAAAGGACAATCGAGCTTCGACGCGATGGGCTGCGGTTGGCTTTTAAGGACCATTTTGAGGGTGGCTTTGGAGGACATGACGAGTTTGCGGCGTCAACTTTTCGTTTCCCTCCAAAATTATCCACAAGCCACTTTCTGTGATGGGATTGAAGCGGTTTGGGAAGACCATTTTTGGTGTCTTCTGGTTTTTGGGGTAGACTTAGGATACATTGCACATTTTACCAGTGACTCAAAGTGAAGCAAACAATAACACATACATTGTATAACTGGGCCTAACTCTAATCATGGCTTCCCTCTAACACCAAGGTCCACTTTTTGAGGTTCTGGACTAAGATGGGCTTCAGTTTCCTTTGGTTTCAGTTTCCCTTTGCAACCTGTTGGGGAAGACCGATGCTTAGTGGCAGAAAGAGTTGGGTTTTGTTTTGCGTCAGGAAGTGAGAAAAAGGGGAGAATCATAGAAGGACATTGAATGGGTGCCCCGGACAAATAAATCCGTCCTACTAGGGGGAGGGGGGTCGTCCACAAAAGCGAAGAATTTGAAGAATTCCCACTAAAAGGGGAACCTCCTCTTCATCAACCAGGGCTTCGTTAACATGATGAAGCAAGTCGAGAACAAGTTGGAAACTGGGTAGTTTACCGCAATGTACCACCCTGCTTTGATGGAAAATTGTTGGTTCACCTGCAATATTTGCGGCAGTGCCCAGTCCTCAGCTTGCAGGAACTGCATCAAACTACCCTTGACAATGGATCATGTGTGTACGCGCCATCTCCGGTCCCATCTCCGGGAAGAAAGGGGCCACCAGCCACCGCGATGGCGAAGGAGTTAAGGAGTTGCATGGGTTTTTTGGACAACTCCCCTGAGAAGCCAAATGGGTGTGTCTCAAACTTGACCCTAAAACTTGTGGGGGTATCAACAGAATACGCAATGGCTGTAGGCCCTGACATCAAAAGACTCCCGAAACTTTCATCACCTCTTGTGTCGATGTTGAGGGAGTTTCTCTAGAAACGCTTAAAATGGAAAAATATAGCTATATATAGGGAACCCTGCTCTGATCCGAACTTCGGGCTGAGGGTGCCGCAGACGGAATAGCTATTGAAAGGTGTAAACTGCATGCATTTCAATGATTCAATCAGGGGCTGCATGTTTTGTTGCGTCCAGCACAACTTCCGGGTCCGGGATTGGGAGGTTTCTGATACTAAGAGGAACTTTTATTGGACTGTCGCATGGTCCCGCAATGTCCCCTTTACATACCGAGTGGCTTTACCAAGTATAGAGTGGGTGTGTAAGGCTTTCGCTTGGATGGTCCATAGCGGGGCCACACCGTTGGAAGTCCCGACCCGCCCCGGCGTGCATGCAAGTTGTCACAGGCATTGGAAGAATTGTCAGTGAGTTTCAGGCGTTTCTGGAAAAATCGGCCAAAACCTGCGTAACCCCTCCTGTCAGATTTTGAGCCACACCCAAAATGGTGTTGTGTTTCAGTTGCCCCAGTCTTCAAGGACACCAGCTCGGCATTTTCTCGCTCGGTGTCCGTCTTCCTTCCTCCAGCTCGCCATAGGTGTACTGGCTGCGAGGCGCAAGTGCCCGCGTCCGCCGCGGCCTCAGGCGTGTGTGTGTGTGTGTGTGTGTGTGTGTGTGTTTTTTTTTGTGTTTTTTTCCCGAAAGCATGGCGAAGGGTTCTTCCGCTGGGTTCACTTGAGTTGTTCTCATGAGAGTCATTACAAGGTGTCATTGCAAGGAATCATCATCATGAAAGTCATTGCAAGGAGTCATTGCAAGGGAGTCATTGCAAGGAGTCATTGCAAGGAGTCATTGCAAGGAGTCATTGCAAGGAGTCATTGCAAGGAGTCATTGCAAGGAGTCATTGCAAGGAGTCATTGCAAGGAGTCATTGCAAGGAGTCATTGCAAGGAGTCATTGCAAGGAGTCATTGCAAGGAGTCATTGCAAGGAGTCATTGCAAGGAGTCATTGCAAGGAGTCATTGCAAGGAGTCATTGCAAGGAGTCATTGCAAGGAGTCATTGCAAGGAGTCATGGCAAGGATTGCAACTTGCACTTGACTCCTTGCACTTGCAACTTGCACTTGACTCCTTGCACTTGCAACTTGCACTTGACTCCATGCACTTGCAACTTGCACTTGACTCCATGCACTTGGCTCCTTGCACTTGGCTCCTTGCACTTGGCCCCTTGCACTTGCAACTTGCACTTAACTCCGTGCACTTGCGACTTGCACTTGACTCCATGCACTTGGCTCCTTGCAACTTGCAATGGCTCTCATGACTCCTTGCAATGACTCCTTGCAATGACTCCTTGCAATGACTCCTTGCAATGACTCCTTGCAATGACTCCTTGCAATGACTCCTTGCCATGACTCCTTGCAATGACTCCTTGCAATGACTCCTTGCAATGACTTGCAATGACTCCTTGCAATGACTCCTTGCAATGACTCCTTGAAACAAGCAAGGAGTCAAGTGCAAGTTGCAAGTGCAAGGAGTCAAGTGCAATTGACTTGCGAGGAGTTAAAATCTCTTCTTAGGGCGGCGGGGTAGTGCCGACGACACTACACGAAAATCGACCCTCTGCGGGGATCGGCGTGGTCGAGGTGCAAAAACCCATGGTTTTTTGCGATTTCTAAAGTGCTCGCGCGACCCTCTGCGGGGATCGGCGTGGTCGAGGTGCAAAAACCCATGGTTTTTTGCGATTTCTGCGCTGCTCGCGCGACCCTCTGCGGGGATCGGCGTGGTCGAGGTGCAAAAACCCATGGTTTTTTGCGATTTCTGCGGTGCTCGCGCGACCCTCTGCGGGGATCGGCGTGGTCGAGGTGCAAAAACTCATGGTTTTTTGCGATGTTTAACCTGCTCGCGCGACCCTCTGCGGGGATCGGCGTGGTCGAGGTGCAAAAACCCATGGTTTTTTGCGATGTTTAACCTGCTCGCGCGACCCTCTGCGGGGATCGGCGTGGTCGAGGTGCAAAAACCCATGGTTTTTTGCGATTTCTGCGGTGCTCGCGCAACCCTCTGCGGGAATCGGCGTGGTGGAGGTGCAAAAAATCGAGGTTTTTGCGACTTTTGTTGTTCGAACTGGTCTTCGGGAGTTGTCTCGCGCGCCTGCTCCCGGAACCGGCGGGTCGCGGGTTCGATTCCTCCCTGGTCCGCGGGCTTGCGTCGCAAGATGCAACTTGCATTTTAAAGCAACTTGCGCAGAGCAACTTGCGCAGAGCAAGTTGCACAGAGCAACTTGCGCAGACCAACTTGCACCGACCAGTTTGCGGAGAGCGCCTTGCCTAGAGCAACTTGCGCAGAGCAACTTACGCAGAGCAACTTGCACAGAGCAACTTGCACAGAGCAGCTTGCACAGAGCAACTTGCAGGGAGCGCAATTTGCACAGAGCAACTTGCAGGGAGCCACTTGCAGGGACCAACTTGCCGGAGCAACTTGCGCGGAGCAACTTGCGCAGAGCAACTTGCACAGTGCAACTTGCGTAGAGCAACTTGCGCAGACCAACTTGCACCGACCAGTTTGCGCAGAGCACCTTGCCTGGTGCTGTCTCGCGCTTGCTTCACGAATGCTTCGTGTAGGGAAAAAGAACGCATCCTGCAGCGTTGGGCCGACCTCGCTTGCGATGTTCTGCTTTCGGGCCAACCGTGGTCTAGTTTTTTTTTCCGGGGCCTCCTCTCCAGTGCGTGAGGCCCCATTTCTGGCTGGTCATAGAGCCTTTGACTGGGGCAAAGACATATCAACAATAATTACTCACGCAAAATCTTCATGTTTGATATTCCAAAATGACGACACACTGCACACATTTGATTATGATATGTTGGTATAGTTTGTGATGTGATATGATTATGATGTGATGTGGCCATGGATATGGATACGACATGATGCGATACGATATGAATATGATATATTGGTTTCATCCAGCTCTTCGTGACACTCTTTGCTAAGACTGCCACCCAGCCAAAATTTCAAGGGCTTGTACGGAAGGTAACAATGCTCTGCTTAAGGGTAGGACATTGAGACACAAGTCTTGCACCCAGCGCCAGCGCTAAGGAAGAATACTCCAATACTAACCCGCATTTCTTGGGGGGGCTTTGCAAAAGTCACTCCCCCGCATGACCCCAATGGTACCATTTTGAAACAGGTGAATTCACCACCCTTTGTAGAACCAATTTTAGTGGTTGGATTGAATCGGATGTTCACTGAACCGATGTGGATTTTGACCCATGGCCATTTCGGTTCCCGCGTCAGGTTTCGGTGGCTGACACAGCCATCGCTCGCCTGAGGAGCTGCCGCTGCAGGCGGAGGCGGAGCTGGCGGAGCTGGTGCCGGGGCCCCCGTTGGATGGGAGTATTATGGTGGCTGGGAGGGAGCCCAAATAAGCCCTAAGTAAGGCCTTAATCAGGGCTTGATAAGGCTTTTTTTGGGCTCCCTCCCCCTCCCCTCCCTCCCAGCCCCCATGAGAGTAGCCAGTGAACGCTTCCTCCCACGAACATAAGGCACCTGTGAGAGGTACCGGGAAGATTAATTTCCTGGAAGGAATCCCGGCTCAGGTACCATGTTAATCAGTGAGACCCAAAAAACACCATGATGCTTAGACTATGGAAAAAGCTAATTGTCTGGCTCTGAGGGGCAGCTGGGGTTGTGGGAAAGAACTGTTCGGGATCCCTTTTCTGAGGACACTCTTTTCCTCGATCAAAGCCAATCCTGGACCGTTCCACGAGTTTTTGGACAGATTGGCTGCCCTAAACCCTGGCACATCAAAGGATGGGAAGAAGCGTTAGGGCCAGAAGCACGTTGCATCATTCCGGACTTGTGTTTTCACCAGGGTTGTGGGATCAAGGGGTTATCCCCACTTTTGTGATACAAGGGAATCCCCTCTTTAAATGGCGGGGTAGTCTTTGGGGGACCTTTTTGTTGTATCACAGAGGTGGTCATTTCCCACAGCCCTGGTTTTCACCCATCCGCTGAAGTGAGTTGTTTAGCGCCCATTGCTTGTCTCCAAACCCCCATCTGGAACCGGCTGTGCAAGCGAAGCGAAGCTCGTTTGCTTGCCAAGCGCTCATTGGCTCGACCCAGCCAGCTGGTCTTCCCGATTCAAACACTCCCTGCGTCTTAGAATACAGATTTCTTGGGGTCCCAATCTGGATAAGCGGGGCGGCGATTCAGCCATCCCTAGTGTTTTGGGGAGCAGCTGGGTAACTAAAGCTTAGTAAGAGACAGGCTCCTGGCCAGAAATTGAAGCAAGCCAGCCTTTTCAATTCCCAAACCCTGGGTAGATCACGTGTTTGGGACGGACCTCCTGAGTTCTTTGTCTGTAGTGCTTGTATTTCAGTATTTGTTCCTTCGGTTTCCCTTTCGAGACTCGAAAAAGGGCACGCTCGGCAACGGGCTCCCGTTTTTGCCCCAACCTCCATCCCGGTATGTGTTTTTTGTTTTTTACATTTTTGCTGTTAAACGGGCTCAACAAATGACAAGGCTTCGAGCATCTAGAGGTTGATCAACCTTCAAGGTCTCCTGTCGCCTAATCCCCCTGCTAACTGTCGTCCAACTTGTGCCGATCGCGTCAAATGGGAGCAAGCCTCTCTCGAGCTTCGGACCAGAGTGCCTCCTCTTTTTTTCAAATGGCGGCCCTGCCCCAGCAGATTCAAGCAAAGCACCCAGAGAGCGCAACCAGCAAGTTGCCTTCGGCTGCAGGTTTGGCCTTGTTTCCCCACCCAGGTGGCTCTCAAGAGGACCCTGAGCCCCCGATTGGAGCCCAAACCGCTTCGCCGCGGCGTGCCCGCGAGGCCGCAAGTCATGCAGGCGCCTCCCGACAGCGCCAGCGAGGACGCCACTGGGCTGCAAAATGGGCACGAGTCAAAACTAAGCCACCAGAAAACCGCAGGTTTTAGTCCATGTTTCCATTTACCAGGGATCCATTTTGGGTACCCTTTTTCGACCCACACATGTCCAAAGAATCCCCGATTCCAATTCCCGAGGCCGCAAGCAGAGACTCAGAGACCTCCCGGGCCAATGTTTGCCTTCTTCCTTTTCTGGGGCCATGGCCAGAGGTGTGGGACGCCCTTTGTGGTTGCCAGGGCTGGTGAACCCTTGGGTCTTGCCCAAGAAGTGTAAGGGTTGTAGCTGAATCAGTCGGTGAACATGGCCAGGATTACGGGAACCGTGGCCTTTGACCATGGCAACGGGCAAGCAGGGATTCCACCTGTTTCCCCTGCCCAATTTGGATTGAGGACTATGGCCAACAGATGCAGCCTATGTGCCCGCATGAAGAAAGCTTAGGTGCATGTATATATATGTGCGTGTCCATGATGTATAGATCACATGGGTTCTTGTTGCTACAGCTGTCCGCCAAGTTTGGCATGGGCAAAACGGTCTGTAGGGCATCCACCGCAACGCGGACCCCCCCGACTGAACCCAGCGGGAATTGACCGGCGAGGTCACCTGAACCAGCCACGTAGCTCCTTTAGTTGGGGAAAGCTGATCTCAGGTTTGCGAACTTCTTCAGGAGAACTGATCAAGGTCCCACAAGGTCCCACAAGGTCCCACATCCCAGAAGGTCCCCAACAAGGTCCCACAAGGCCCCGCAACTTGGGGTGGGCGCCTTTAAAGCACCTCGCGCTTTTTTTTCCAAGCCCCGAGGCCGAAAAGCTCAGCCAGGGGGCCCTGGCAAAAAGAAGCGAGCTTGCCCCACGTCGTTGATGATTTTTATCGATTTTTCCCACGGGAAACCCAAAGAGGTGGGTGATTTTTCAGATTTTCCAGGCCTGTTTTAAAGGATGGAGGCCAACTGTTGGTTCTTTTTGAAGACCAACTCAAGGGTTCACCGTTTTCTACCCGTTTTTTCAAATGGGCATGGGAAGTGGCAGAATGTCAACTGCTTGAATTGTAGAGAAACCCTCCCTTGGAGGCTTTTGCAGAGAACGCCAGGCTTTCGAAGGAGGTCATTAACGTTCCCATGTCGAAAGAGTGTTTGGGTTTGTCAGGTACATGGCAACTCACAGATTGGCATAGGCGACCTGGACCTTCGATTGGCATCCATTCGACCGCGAACCCAAAGAGATCCTTCCAACCGACCGCGTCTGGTTTGCGGCCCGCGGAGCTCCCAACCTCCAACCATAGCATCTGGAGGCTGCCTGGACCATTTTCTCTTGGGCCGGTTTTGCTGTCCGCCATGGAGCCGGCAGCTTCCCCGGATCCTCCAGGGACCGGTCCCTATCTTTTCTTCTGGTGGCTTTAAGCATAGCACCTTTTCGCGGCCTTTTGGAGTGAGTTGCCAGGCAGGGGTGATGTTGCAAAGGGGAAATCTGGGGAACCCTGCCGCAGCGCCAAAAAGGAACCCGGTCAGAATCCCTGGCGCGAGGCTTTGCCAGACCGGCGCAGAATTGCCTCGATAGAAGGAACGACTAGAAAGGAAGCCCTTCGGGAAAGAGACATGGTCTTTCAGGTATCCTCCAGGTGCCTTCCGCGGGATTGTTCTTGCTTGTCCAAGCACTAAAGTCGACACCTGGCCTGTCTTAGCAATTTGATGCGCGTGCGATCTGTGCGATCTATCCGGCCCGCACTTTTCTTGGGGGGGTCATCTCTTTAAGTCTTTCGGTTCCAAGTTTGCTTGCGGGGAGCAACCCCTGTGTCGAAGGGGGTCAAGCATTCCAAGGTGCCGAAACAATTTGGCACGGTTGCTTGACTGCTCTTCAGCTCGACTGAAAGAACCGTTTGGACAATGGGTTTGTCTGTTTTTGAAGGTGCCCATTTTGCGGTTGATTGAATGTGAAGCAAAAGCAGAACCCTTATTTTGGACCCCTTTTTGATACAACCCCGAATGACAGTTTGCAACCTCGAACTTACCAACAACACAAAAGCCTCCCCACCGTTTTTCTTTGCCTGTTCAATCGACTGCTTGCTGATCATTGACAGCGATGTGACGCGGGGAGTAGCCCCCGCTCCAGAATTATTTACCGTACTTGGCATGTGTTTTTTTGTTTTTGCGGTTATTTCTGTTCAGTTTTGGTGAGGGCTGGTCAACGTTTGGCAACATCTGGCATCTTTGCGCCTTTTTTCGGGAAATATTGATGAGCATTGAACCGATTCGAGCCGCAGCTTTAGGGTACTTACTTGCGCTAGAGAACCAGCCAGGAGCCTATATAACCCTCATTACCATCTTGACGCAACAAAACCATTGGGATACAGGCGCTCAGGTTGACAAAAGCTTGAGAACCCCTTTGATATTTTTGTTGGCTAAAGCCTTTCCGTGCCCAGGCAAGCTGCGGGTCAAAGCAGCCAAAGCGCTGG